AGACACGGAACGCTGTTACCTTCCCACCGAGGTGGTCCCTATTTATCTACTTGCATTTACATGCTTTCAAACCGCTAGGTTGGCGGGAGCTGGGACAAGCGACGGGCGCTCATTCCATCGCGTGGATTCGATCTTACGACTGCTAGTCTTCTGACCCTGCAGCACAGGCTTCTGCGGTTTAGCCCACAGCGCCACCATATTTACAACATTTACAACAGGGCTAATTGACTCCATAGACTGTCGAAGGACTGGTCCCCAGCATGTGTTGCCCAAGGCAGTTGATCCAGTCTGCTCAATGGTAGAGCCGGACTTACATCCTTCCATGTTCAAACTTGGTAAAGGTAAAGGTTCCCCTTGACATTTTTAGTCCAGTCGTGTCCGACTCTAGGGGACGGCGCTCATCCCGCTTTTCAAGCCGTAGAGTCAGCACCTGTCTGAAGACAGTTTCCGTTCTCACATGGCCAGCACGACTAGGGAACGCCGTTTTACCTTCCCACCAAGATGGTACCTATTTATCTACTTGCATTTACATGCTTTCGAACTGCTAGGTTGGCGGGAGCTGGGACAAGCGACGGGAGCTCACTCCGTTGCGTGGATTCGATCTTACGACTGCTGGTCTTCTGACCCTGCAGCACAGGCTTCTGCGGTTTAGCCCACAGCACCACCACGTTCAAACTTGGAGCTTCTGCTAATTATTCCTTTCTTTCTTAAATTTATATACCACTCCTCTAGTGCAATGCCCTCTTCTGAGTACTCAACGGCAGGCAGGCACTCGCAAACCGTCAAATTAAAACAAAACACACCGCTCATAACAATAGACCCAGAGTGGCGCAATTTATATGCTAATCCACTTGTTCCAATACTAACAAATCTAATTGATGCCTGAGACCTCCACTAATCGTCTTTACATGCTAACAAGTGGTTTCCTTGTCTGTCCCATGAGCTGCCTCCCGTTGGTTTGAAAAGTCAAGGAGGTGTTCGTTGGGATCCAATTGGAAGCTTGAGGAAAAGACCCATTGAGCTCAAATAGAGGGTCGCAGGGTTTGGGAGAGACGGCTTAGTATCTGGGGAAAGGCCATTATGCAGGCTGTGCAGAACGCATGGAATATTGACAGGCCTCTGCAGGCTGCCCGAGGGATCCGCTCTGTACTCTTCGTCTGGATGCGCGTCAGAGCAACCTCGCTACCACTGTTCCATACACCAAGCAAGCTGTGTTACTCAGCGGCTGCGATAATCTTTTCCACAAGGAGGAAAACGCAGGGGTGTTTGGACATTCCCCCTAGCAGCTTGGATTATTATTATTTTAGCCCCGCTGCGTTTGGTATTTTTCTTGGTGGAAGGAAGTGTCCCACGCAGAGGAAAAGACCGTCAGCCTTTGGTGGGATTTGAGGTTCGTGAGACTGGCTTCCGTCTTTCTTTGCACTTTCTCCCACATGGACGCCGTTTAATGCTTTGAAGAGTCCAGGCTCGAAGAGGGCTCAGTCAAAGCTGGCTGGACAGATTGGGAGTTTAGGTCTCTGACCGCGGAGCCAGAAGTTGGGAGTTCGATTCCCCCCACTGGGCCTCCTGGGAGAAGAGCCAGCCTGGGTAGCCTTGGGCCAGCTGTACAAGTCCCAGGGTGTCCTTCGAGGTAGGGAAGGGTCAACCACTTTGGAGTGTCCTCTACCTGGAAAACCCTGGACAAGGATCATCATAGGTCAGAATCAGCTTGGCAGCGCATGATTTATTACTAGCGCATAATGACGGCATTAAACATCCACAGCAGCAGAGAGCTGCAGACGGAGAGCAGTTACATAACTTTTGGTCCTAAGTCCCAGGGTGTCCTTCGAGGTAGGGAAGGGTCAACCACTTTGGAGTGTCCTCTACCTGGAAAACCCTGGACAAGGATCATCATAGGTCAGAATCAGCTTGGCAGCGCATGATTTATTACTAGCGCATAATGACGGCATTAAACATCCACAGCAGCAGAGAGCTGCAGACGGAGAGCAGTTACATAACTTTTGGTCCTAACTAGAAGGGTTTGCTGCCATCACACTCGGCTGCATGGTGTAGGCAACGATGACAGCTGTGTGGGAGGAGCCACAAAGGCGGTGGGTTCCAGCCAGGCTGATGGACAGGCCCTTGTTTTCTCAACAACACCCCCCTCCACGAGCAAGCCAGGTGGATCTGCTCGCAGCCCCTCTGTCTCCCCCAAATGCAGCTTCCTTCTGGAGAAGCTCGAGATGCGTCTTCTTTTTCTATTACAGCCATGTTGTGTTATGTGTCTAGTTCCCAGGGAATCATCTCTCCTGCCAAGTACAGGCACGCCGCTGGGGAAATAAACATTGATCGGCTTGCAACAACAGATTTTTACGACAAGAAGAAAAGGATGCAAAAGAAGTGTGCGTTAAGCCAGCACTGGCTTCCCTGGGATGCACAAAAGGGACACATTTTTAACCACCAGGCACTGAATTGTGTAATAGCGCCACTTTATGCGTCGCCAAAGGAAGGCGACACAAAAGAGGACATAAATCGGCATCAAATGGAAGGACAGGTTGCAGGGTTTTTTCAATTTCTGGTTACATTCCTCTCACTGTGCAACAGAAGTACAGGGATTCAGAGAGCAAAATGGCTTCACGTTCCACAGAGTAGTCCTTTCCATTTCACATCTGCTGGCACTTACAGTCTCAATAGCCCATGAATAAGAGAAAGAATAAAAGGCTTCACTACTTACGATTGAACAGATCAAGCAGCAAACTGACTGACATGGCTGCTTTCAACAACAGAATTCAACAGATCTCTTGAGGGGAAAAAGGCACTGAGCAGAGAGATGAAGCTTTCTTTGAATCTCTATGTATAAATGAGGGTATAGAGTTCTACACAAAGCAGCATCTTCTTCTGTGCCCCTTTTTAGTGAGGCTTATCATTCTTGACGATGTGGAACAGGCCACTATCTATAGCAGTGGCTCCCAACCTTGGGTCCCCAAGATGTTCTTAGACTACAACTCCCAGAAATCCTGGCCAGCACAGCGAGTGGTGAAGGCTTCTGGGAGTTGTAGTCCAACTCAAGGTTGGGAGCCACTGGTCTACAGCAGTGTATAGTTACAGATGGTCAAAGTAACTTTCCAAGCTCTGAAAAAGACAAATTATGGATGGGTTTGAACTACATATCTTCCTCAGAAGCAAGCCCACCTGGTACTGCCAATTAAGCTTTGGTTAATAATAATTATGACCATGTATTCTAAGTAGAGAAGACTCAAAAGTGGTTGACCGTTCCTTCCTTCTGGGGGTGCCCTGGGACTATGCAGCTTGCCCAAGGCTACCCAGGCTGGCTCTACTCCTAAGAATCGAACCCCCAACCTCTGGCTCCACAGATACTTAACTCCCCTGAGCAGGGTAGGAGTAAGCAACTTTGGAGGGTCCAGGAGCTAGGTTTTGAAGTTTGGTTCCTCCATGGGTCACAACCCCATTTCCTGCCAAAACCAGAAACAGGTGGAAGGCTGCCTCGAGGTTTCTTCTCCTCCGTCTTCCAGCGCCACCTTCCTTATTTTCAACTTATTTTGCGTTTCCGCATCTAAAGGATGTGAGGAGCATGCCTTGTTTCGAAAGGAGAGCCATGTATCCAGAATCATGATTCTTCCCCCTTTTTTAAAAAAAAAGTGGGTGGCTCGAGGGATGGTGAAAATTAGGACGCTGGCGGGCCTCTGGAGATCACATGAGGTCCTCTCGCAGTCCCGTCACAAGTTCAAAACCCAAGCCGGGACACTGGGTGACGTTGGAAGGTCATGCTTGTCCAATCAACCTACCTCACAATGCCGTTGTGAAGAGACCAACGAGCGATCAAACTCAAGGAGGTCCCTCTGAGCCCCACCAAGAAATAATGGAATTTGCTTTGAGGTGTAAGAACAAATCCCATTATCCAGGCGGACGTTAGGTGGATGGTTCTCAACCATGGGTCTCCAGATGTTCTTGGACTGCAATTCCCAGAAATCCTAGCCAGCACAGCTAGTGGTGAAGGCTTCTGGGAGTCGTAGTCCAAGAACATCTGGAGACTCAACCTCTGCCCTAGACTTTTTCCTCAACAGAAGATTTTGTACAGATATCGAGATGATCTTCAATGTTTAAACCAGACGTTGCTCAGATCCAGCAAAGTTGATGACTTTGGAGATCTAACCCAATTCTTAGGGGGTGGGGTGGGGGGATGATGTCCAGCCGTTTTGGTGCGTGGAGTTGGATTCAAGAGGAAGAGTATTACAATACACCGGTGGGGAAGCGCGACACAAAGCCACTTGAGAGAAGCGCGGAGCAGAATCCATTACGGGAATCTTCTGCGAATCCCACAGTGAAATTACAGCAATAAGCGAACATGCATAATTTATACCGATAGGAGCATTTGCATGCGTTAGGCAAATAATCTGGATTTGTTTTTGAAATCACTCCCCCCCCCACAAAACAAATAAGGATGCAGAATTTACACAGAACTAAACTCCGTGAGGCTGTTGTTATGGTTACTGTTGCCTTAAAACGCCTCTCTGGATTTGCTCACTACCGTCTCCCGCTTTTCTCTGGGAGAAAAATAAAAGTTCTACGCAAGATAAACGTAAAATTAAAAACTGCGCAGATGGCACGTCCGTACTCACCTTCGGGTTCACAGTATTCTGGTTTGATAATGCAAGAGTTCTGATAGCTCCCGAAAAGGAGAAACGTCACGCCTTTCGCATCCGGGACGCAGATGCCTTTGTTCACGATGCCTTCTACAATATCTGAGGCAGGCACGGAAGCAGTAAAAACAGGCAGCTGATCAAAATAACCACGGTTGCTTCATAGGCAAAAGATCTGCCCCAAGAAAGCTTTCCTGCTATGCCGCCCCCCCTCCCGTCTCTGCTTGCGTGGGGGCACCAAGGGAGATAGGTGGGCACGAACCAGAAAAAATGACGATTCGGGGTGGTTCGTAGCTAGCCACGAACCACAAATTACGAACCACCCCGAATCCTGGAAAAAGCCAATTGGTTCACAATTCGGTTTTTTCAGGTTTGTGTCTCTGGGGAGAGGAACCGAATGCCACCACCACCCACCCCCTGCCCCGTTGCCTCCCTCTCTGTTCTTTCCCCCTCCTCCTCTTCCTCCTCCATCACCATCTTCAGAGGCAGTCAACCAGCATCGGGTTCGAGACCTGCTGTCTCTGCGGATGCAAAAGGGAAGCCAGGCTGCTGTCTCTGAAGATGATGGAGGAGGAACAGGAAGCAATGTGGCTGGGGGGGGAGCCATTGGCATGGGCTAAAGCAAAATGAAGACCCCGGGGGGGGAGAGAATTTGGCATCGTCTTGCATTTCAGCAAAATGGGGTCCACGAACCGAACCACGAACCAGCCCGGTTTGCAGTTTTTCCCAAGACCCCGGAGGGGCGAGAATTTGGCATCGTCTTGCATTTCGGCAAAATGGGGTCCACGAATCGAATCACGAACCAGCCCGGTTTGCAGTTTTTCCCAGAGATGTTGTTCGGTTCCCCAAATGTTCTTGGACTGCCACTCTCGGAAATCCCAGCCATCACAGCAAGTGGTGAAGGCTTCTGGGAGTTGTAGTCCAAGAACCTCTGGCGACCCCAGTTTGAGAGCCACTGTAATATGCAAGAGATCCAGTGGAAAAAAAACAGCCCTCTCGTGTTTTTCTCCATCCTGTGGTGGAAGGAGAAAAACAAGACTCTGGATCTCCCAAATCCTATAGTCCCAGTCCCACAGGAAGGGAAGGGGAAGGAAGAGTTGATGGCAAAATGAAAAAAAAAAAACTGGCTGCTACGTTGAGCCAAACATTTTTAGACTCCAATTCTTTCATTATTATATTTTTCTTCTTTTTTGTGTTTTCCTTTTAAAGTACAAAGCCCAAAACCCTCCTCCACCCAGCCTCCCTGGGGATTCTAAGCAGTGTCATGAATATCATTAAATTGAAATGAATGAATTAATTAATATAATTGAACTTAATTAATTAATTAAAAATGAACATTTTCTTGTCTCTCCCCCTTCTAAAGATCCCCTTGGCTCCGCTTCTGCACAGCCCAGGTGTGTCTTTACACCTGGTTTTAAAGAAACCGGTTTTGGTTTAAAAGGAACAGACCCCAAGGAGACCTGGACTTTCCCTTTATAAAAAAAAAAACCCTCCTTCCTCACGGGCGAACCCCGATTCCAAGTCCGGCGCTAAACCGAACTGTCCGAGCTTAACAAATGTAGAAGAATCGTACTGGGTTCTCACCTACGGTTGCAGAGAACTTAGAGTAGGAAGAGTCATTGGTATATACAAAAGTGGAATTATGGGAAGGAAGCACAGTGAAGTTGTGGAGCCTGACAGCTGGTGGAGGACGACAAAGACGAGACAAACACAAAGAAAAAACAGAAGAAAAACAAAGCAGTACAATGAATAAATGCCAGGTGATTATGAATGAGCCAGTCCATATCTCTCAGGATGGAAGAAAGCAATAATTAAATGTCTGAAGGTGGGAGTAACTAGTTACAAGTCATTAATTACTTGTAATTAGCCCTTAGTTACTTGTAATTAGTTCCTTTCCCCATAATGAAGATGGAACGACATGACAGCAGGCTTGTAATGTAGTGATGTTACTCCGTTTTGTGGTGTAACGATGTATTTCAAAGTGACTTTTCCAGTTCAGAGATGTGGTCTGATGAAATGGTTGCTGAGAAATGCCACACTTGTGTGTCGTAGGTGCTGCTGGCAATGGCAAAAAGGACCAGAGGCCAATATGTTCTCCACATCCTCATCTTACAACTGCAGAGCTGGAAGGGACCCTGTGGGTCATCCAGTCCAGCCCCGGTCAAGGAGGCCACGTAGGGGGGATCAAACTCCCAACCTCTGGCTCCACAGCCAGAGACCTCAACCACTGAGCTATCCGGCAGTTCTACACATCTGGTAAAATGTTTAATATATATTTTTAATTTCATTCATTTCCCCACACACACACACAAAGTATGGTGAACCATATTAACCAAAATTATTTTTGAAGCCATTTTTTAAAAAAAGCACAATGGATAAAAAAGAGTGATTTTTTAAAAAAATATTTGATTTTAATCAAATCCATCCCTTTTTTAAAAAAAAAAGTATCTCAAATAAATGAGAGTGATATCTCTTCAGCTTGCAAGACTGCAGTGACTGAAATGGGTACTTCATTCCCCACCAGGTAATTTAAATAACTGTTCATTCATTTAAGAAAGATGCTCATTTTAAGTTGGCTAAAACTTCTGAATTAAATCATACAAGCCAAGTCAAGAAAAAAAAAATAGCTTTGACGGCCATTTCTGGGCAGGTAATAATTGAATTTTCTGTTCAATTTATATTAATAGACATTATATTTAAAAAACAACTACAATCATGTACGCCTCTTTGATTTCCAAACTGATGAAGCAAGGTAAAGCAGCATCATAACAATGAAAGGCAAGGAAAAACATCAGCTCCAAAGCAAGGGGTATTTAAAAAAATGACTCATCCAGTTAAATTATAAATAGATGCATGTGGTTTGGCAGCAGGGTGCTGAAAAGTCTCTCTTGGCTAAGGGGAAATTACTGGTTTGCTTTGGCGCACATACTAGCAACGCAGTCGAGCCATAGGTCGTGGTTTCAGCCCCTCTCTCTGAGTTTTCCCACTTCGTTGTAATTAATGGAACAACACACATCGGGGTCTCTTAACCTTCGAAGAAACCACTTGGAAAATGCAGAAAGCGCTTAACCGCCAAAACGGTTGCATTATTTACGTCTCCATGGGGTTCAAAACGCCTCCTGAGCAGTGGGGCATAACAGGTTCACGATTAACAAATCTTAATTAAGCAGGGCCAGAAAGATCCTTGGCCACTGAGATGTTCATGGCTATGCATGCTTACAAAATCACATGCCTTTGGAAAATTAGTTTCCTCTTATTTTGTGGTGCAGATTGTCATCAACCAGTATCTTGCAAAAGTTATTGAGTGCACTGCACATTGACTCATTTGTGTTGTTATTTCCTGTAAACCATTAAAAAAAACACGGAACACTCTCCTATGCCCACTAGTGGCCAGTTCTGATACTGCACCTTGAAAAGATTTTGCTGTTGCTGCTATGTGTCATTGAGTCACTTCTAATCTTAGCTGATCCTATGTATGAGTGACCTCCAGCAGTTTTTGCTCTACTCAAGACCTTGATTAAATCAATCCATCTCATATTAGGGCTTCCTCTTTTCCTACTACCTTCCACTTTTTGCAGCATTATTGTCTTTTCCATTGAATTTGGTCTTCTTACAATGTGCCCAAACTCCTCTTTTCCTATTACCTTCCACTTTTTGCAGCATTATTGTCCTTTCCAGTGAATTTGGTCTTCTTACAATGTGCCCAAAGTAGGCCAGCCTCAGTTTAAATATTTATACCTCTGCAAATATGTGGGTTCTCCCAAAATTACAGATACACCCCTTCTGTGGTGTGTGAGAGAGAGATCATACCATATTTTGTGATGTAAGTGTTGGCATTTACAAGCAGGAAGTTGGAAAGAGTGTATGGCCATATGAGTGGAACAGTCGCTGAATAGAGGATCATCTTTTGTAAATCGCACTAATTCAATGGGTCTACTTATTGTGGGTTGGCAACTGGATTTGGGATTCCACTTACATTTCATGACAGATAAATATCTGCAGGCATATTTCATTGTGACGGTATTCGTTTATTGTTACGAATTTTTTAAAAATGACTTTCCATTCAGCTAATCTCCTCAACACCAAATTTCGCGGAAGTCACCCCCCAAATATCTGTGTGTATCTCCCACCGATCTATCTTCCGCACCAAGCGGGCGGCCACAACATCAACAGAAGGGATGAAGCACTGAGAGATATGGAGCTGGACCGCAGCCACGCGACAGTTTCAACAAATAAAACGAATGAATGCGGTGGGCAAAAGCTTACAATGGTTCTGAGGATTTATGAACAACAAACATGGAGTGAAACATAAGTGCATGAAATTGCAATGAATGAGGTGGGAAACGAATACAAAAATAAATTCTTGACAGGCTTTCATAATCGATGAAAGAGGAAGCAACGCATGCACGCAGCCCAGTGATATTCGGTTCCATTGGGGGTCCCCATGGCCTTCCCAACATGGTGGGACTCCAGTCCCCATCAGCCCCAGCTAATGGGAAGGAGAGATGATGGGTGTGGCGTGTGCTTGTTATAATGACATCCCATCTTTCTTCTAATGACCTCAAGGTTGCACATAGAATTCTCGTCTTCACCGTCAAATGCTCCCAGCAACCCAGCGAGATGGCCAGTTCAAAATCACTCAAGGGATCTCATCACAGAGGGGCAATTTTGAACCCAGGGCTCCAAGATGGGGTCCAACCTTCTCCCCATGATGCCATACCCTTGTAGGCTCGGTCCCCATGCAAGTGGAACCAGAAACCAGGTAAATGGCGACCGTTTTTGACCCTTCAACCTATTCCTGTCCACCACTCATTAGCCAGAAAGTTAAGGGTGGAGGACAGTGGATACAGAGCGTTGTGTCGGGATTTGGGAGCTCCGAGTTCAAATCACGACCAGGCAGGTCGTTCTATCTCAGCTTAACCTACCCCTCAAGGCTGTTGTGAGGATAAAGTAGAGAGGAAGGAATTCGCCCAGTGCTGAGTTCGATGGGATAAAATCGTAAACAAAGAACTCACACAAGATGCTTCAGATCTGTTAGCCAATGCCAAACTCACAATTTATATTGCATCAAAGGATCATGGGCTCCATGCACAGATCAAAGAGAAGAGTCACACACTCGTTCTGCTTCCAAGAGTCCATTTTTTATTTTTACACCCAGGGAAGGATCGAGCGATGCTATCCTCACCCCAACGCCAGCGATCCAAAGGGGTTGGAGAGTCTACACAACACTGTTGTAGCGCTTTTGAGGGTCCTTCCTCCACCCACCCCCCAAGGAACCTTGGGAGTTGTAGTTTGAGCAGGTGCTCGGGGTTCTCGGCTCACAGGCCGCCCAACGGCCATCCCTCCCCGAACTACGAATCCCAGGAATCCCTCGGACGGGGACCGTGGCAATTGGAGTAGAATCCAACTGCCATCACTGTGCTGTGTGGCTGCACTTTCTAACTACATCGCCAGGGCAAGCGGCTTTCGGGGGGAAAGGCGTAGACTTTCTGCCTACCTCCATTTGTATCCCGGAATTCATGGATTCCTTCCACAGTCCCCAGAGGCCAGTAATGCGACGCCTGAGCAAGAACATCAAAACCTGTGGGAGAAGAAGAGGAAGAAGAAAAAAATGTCATAAGGCTCACTCCAGCGGTGCATTGAGCTTGGCTGGTCCTCTGTTTTTCCAGTGGAGAACATGTACATGAAGTTATGCACACAGGGGCATACATGCGCACCTACACATGAGCTTGGAAAAGTTAATTTAAAAAAAAACCTGACAACCCCCCAAATATTCAGCCAGCCGTGAAAGACGATGGCCATGCTCACCTAGGATCTCAGGGTAGTCCAGAAAAAAAAGTAACTTCCCTATGTTCAGGTTTATGCACACATACATAGCCATCCAAATCTCTTGAAGATCTGTTGTTTTACCAGTGAAAGGAATCCCCTTACGGACTGCAGCTATCCCATCCCTGTGTTGCGAATATAGTCGTTGTGGTCCATTCATCACCCGGTGGGTCATCTTGCTCCCCCCTGAGGGCCGATCTGGCAAATCATCCTCAACACCCTTGACTAGGTTGCTCCTCAAGTCCACCTTACTGCGAAGATACACGGCCTCCTCTTACAGTGTTGTCCTTGCAGGCACGTAAATCTCTCAGCGCTATGTGCCCAAAAAGCTGTTCCATCTCCGAACCAACCCATCGCAACGTGGAAGAAAAACCGACGGGCTGTATTCTGATGATACAGAAGCAAGTGTTAGAATCAATGGGCGGCTCTCTTGTTTTAGGTCTTCGGGAAAGCTAATTTGTGAGGACGGACAGCACGGAGTCTAGTAGCCACAACATTCATTCATCGGGTGACCTTGAACCAGCCCTACTCTGCCTGTCTTCGCAGGACCTACGTTAACAGGGTCTTTCTGAGGACGTAGCGAGGAAGAACGTCTTCATGCGTACTTGCTGAATTGCTTTAGTCTGGTTGGAGTAAAGGCGAGACACCGATGTAACAAGCTAACCAATTAATTATTCTTAAACGACATCCTTTCTCTGGATACTTAACGTTCTCTAATGCACACTAACTTTCCTGCCACATCTTTGAGCATACGCTAGCAACAGCATCTCTGTGTGTGTGTCTCTCTCTGTGTGTGAAAGACTTCAAGATGCAGAGCAACATCTGGAAAAATAAGACACCCACCACCCCACTGTTTTGCGCTTTTCTTTGTAGTTCTCTGCTTCGAAATAAGCACATCCTGCTGTTCATTATGTCTCATTTTCCTGCGTTGTCTCCTTCAGCTGCAGATGGTCATCATGCTGAGATCCAGGTGGATAAGCTGGTTGGGGGGGGAATCCGAGGAGTCTTGCTTCACGGTGAGACGTTTCTCTCTGGGTGGTCTGTCTGCTGGGAAATGAAATATGCAGAGCAATCTGGAGACAAAACGGCCTCTTTAGGGTCCTTAGAAGAAAGACATAACAGCTGGAACAGGGGGAGGAGAGACGTTTGTCAACTCAAGAAGCCTGATCTCCAAAGGGCCGGCACTGTCGTGGGCAGAGTGGATAAGTGGCCCTCGTGGGTCAGTGAGAAAGCTTGGGATTTTCCAGGCAAGCCTTGTGCTCTGTTGTTCAGACGCGGCCTTCGTCCAGAAACAGATGCCTTTCAGCGCCGTACCATGGGAGATGTAGTCCCTGTACGCAAGGACTCTGTCCTTCCAGAAAGGAAGCCCAGAGGGTCATTTGATTCTTTACAAAATGAGTGCGTTCTAAAAGATCCTTTAAAACACATTGATCTTTTCCCAAGAGAGACCACTGTCTCCCGCGTCCATCCTTTCAACAGCAATCCCTCAGTTCATTAACTTTGCTGCACAAGGGGGGAAAAATAAATAAATCCGTATACCACAGTGCTCAAAGTGTCAAGCGCTGAACCAATTCAGTCTGTGTTCTTATTTATCTTATTTATCGGAAAGCAAATACCTCTGGCAGAACTCCAGCCTTTTCTTTAGGGGAATAAATCCGTATACCACAGTGCTCAAGTGTCAAGCACCGAACCAATTCAGTTTGTGTTCTTATTTATCGGAAAGCAAATAACCTCTGGCAGAACTCCAGCCTTTTCTTTAAAACGTGCTTCCAAGTTTATGCAGAGAAACGAGAATCTCCATTTTGTTTTCCTGAATCCTGACCGCGCGTCAGTCTCAGCCTTTGCTCCTACCTGCCGACTGGATAGCTCCAGCGGCTGAGGCTGGGAGTTCGATTCCCCCCAGAGGCTCCTGGGAGAATAGCCAGCCTGGGTGGCGCCGACTGGATAGCTCCAGTGGCTGAGGCTGGGAGTTCGATTCCACCCCCCAGCAGCTCTTGGGAGAATAGCCAGCCTGGGTGGCCTTGGGCAAGCTGTGCCATCCCAGAGAGCCCCAGGAGAAGAGGATGGTAAACTGCTTCAGAGTGTTGTCTAACTGGAAAACCCTGGAAAAGGTTTCTATAAGTTAGAATTTACTTAATGATACACAGCTATTAGCTGGTTTAGGTATCTGGAAGTGGAGTCAGTTCTCCATTGTGCCTCTTGCAAACAGAGCCAGCCTGGGTAGTTACTTAATGACACAGTTATTAGCTGGTTTAGGTATCTGGAAATGGAGTCAGTTCTCCATTGTGCCTCCTGCAAATAGAGCCAGCCTGGGTAGCCTTGGGCCAGCTGCACAGTCCCAGGGCTCCCCCTAGAGGAAGGGAAGGGTAAAGCACTCCTGAGTCTTCTTCACATGGCAAACCCTGCTTTAAATCTCCCATTAGGGCTAAGATAAAGAAAGGGTGGTTTCTTCTGCTGATGGCTGTTTCTGATTTGCTTTGCTCACTCTTCCACAATCAATCAGGAGCCCTGGGTATGACAAACAGGAGATAAGGATGGCAGAAAATAAGGCTAAGGGAGAAAGGCAAGTGGTGGAAATTGGCCCCACTGAATCAAGTGGGGTTAATTCCTAGATAAGCGTGCATTGAAGTGGACCTTCTGATCATTTGCCTTTTCATCCCTGGCTCAATTGCGCCCATGCTCACCTGTGCACAGGTCCCCCCAAAAAAGTGGGGAAAAAGCAATATAGGTAGCACGCTATCGGAGCTTGGAAAGAACACATCAGTTTAACATGTTAGCACTAAAATAGTTAAACAGAAGGACGAGCCAAACGATACATCTAATGAATGTTGCTGGAGTAATATGTTTGGTATTTTAAAGCTCCTTCTGAAAAGTTGCTCTCTTAAGATTTGGCGCCTTCTTGCCATAACCGTTTCGCTAGGGGCGCGTTAAATCGGACGTGTTATTTCCAAGCCTAGTTATATATGCTTCGGAAAGATAGCATCGTGCGCATCCCCAATTATAATCCCCTCGCGTCGCCAGACTTGAAACCCTGGAAAGTGGGAAGAAGGCAGATGGGTCAGGAAAGCCAAATGGGGTTCCTCCACGCTCATCAAGGCAGGGGCCCGATCCACTCAGAGCCTGCCGCAGCCAAGCTGGCTTGTTAAGCAGCTCTTCCGATGAAGCTCGGGTGGAAGCGTTTTGTGAAGGATGGCCCGAATCGGCTTCTCTCCGGGAGCCATGGGAGATCCGTGGCCGGATCCTTTGCTAGGGGACGGAAGCTGTTCTTCACAGAGCAGCCTGCTAAGGTCCCCACAGCTCTTTCCCCCTTGCAGGATTGACCCCATCCAAGTTCACTCCCTATCCGAGAGTCACCCTCTGTCCCACAAAGGAAGAGATGCCAAGATCATGGCTGTTTTGTGTGTTTCCTTGTAACCAGAGATGCCCGTGAGGAAATGTGCTCGAGGAAGCTTCCCTGAGGCATCACACAGTGGCATCATCCTCCCTCACCACATTTTTTCCACAGGGTTCTTCAATGTATTATTTCACACCCCTGCGAGGCGGGACAGATTGGGCAGGGGGGGGACCACGATGGAGTTCCCCAGATCTCCAGAGGCTGGAAATGTGGTGCCGAAACACCCAACTGAGCACAGCCGATGTTTATGCTAATTATGGGGATCTGGGATTTATCATCTAAAAAGTAAGTTCTCCAACCTCTGGGTCTTCCTGATCATCATCCAGATCTTAGCTGACTGCCTCACTCCAGATCTTAGAAATGTGGGCACCATTCAAAAGTCATTCCACCCCCAAGCCAGCCCAACAGCATAAATCTTGCACTGCCTGTTGGTTTACAGGCATCCTGAATCCACTACAACCCAAAACGGCTGTTTTTGTTACGTGGACTTATACGGTCGGTTCTTTACTTTTCCTGTTTCTCCCTTCAAGTTCTCAGCTGGGACAAAATGCTTCAAAGATTTTGTTCGATCTATCACAGGCTCGTGACCGAGACAGAGAGAGGGATTCCCAAAAGTTAAACCAAAAGTTCTTTACCTGGATGTTTGGGGAGCCACGTATAGTTTCCATACACCTGTACGTTTAAAAGAAGAGAAAAGACTTACATGAATAGGCTGAAGAATGGCAGAAGCATTTAAGCAAGCAAGCGAAGGCGGAGGAGAAAGTCCTTGGAATCTGTTTGGCAAAGGGTTACCTGGAATAAAATCAGCAAGGAGAGATAACTCAAAATAGACCACCAGTTCTCCATGGTTCCGTTGACCGAGCGGCGAGTTGAGTAAATTTCTCTAAAGAAATCTCCGTTCACTAATCATCCTCGGTCACTGCACCAGATCCATGCCGTGAAAGGGGTTCGAATCAAGTCAACACCCACTGTTGGCAGGAGGGAGAGAGAGAAAACTCCTTCTGACAACCACTTCCTTCAAAGAGGGGAACTTTCAGGGGTCCATAAATACATTCCAGGAAAGCAGCAAGAAGGAGACGGTTTTCAATGAACAGCAGGACGTCCCAGGAACTGAACCTAGATATGGTTAAAAATGCAATTTTCAGCTGCTGGCTCGGATTTCTCAGTTTTCTTCTCTCATTCCCCCTGCTCTCTGCGGCTCTACTGGAGAGTTGTCTTCTTCTTATCAGAGATTCGGATGGGGATGGGTTTAAATGCAAATCAAGAAAAAGGATCCCTTCTGATCCACTAGGCTGTCGTTCTTTGCATGGGAACTGGGCTAGGAATGAGCAGCTGTGGTTTTGCGTGCAGGATTTCTCTGGCTCAAAAGTTTACACCTCCATCCCAGTTTCTCGGCTGGGTGGAGAACAAGTCCAGAATGATGTCATGCTTTCTCCTCAAACTTTATCCCGTTTGGGTACTCTATTTATATCACGTTACCAACCCACCTCCGTTGCTGGGTCCTAAGACCAGCCAGTGGGGAAGAGCAGGGAGGAGCTGGGGGGAAGTTCAGGAAAAGTTCAGGAGAAATGCACTGAGAGTAAGGAGGGGAAATGAAAGGTTTTGGCTAGGAAATAAAAAGCGGAAGACGGGATAATTCCTGATTTGGATGACAAGTTCCAGAATTCCCCCAAATGGCCTGACCAGTCCTTGGGGGGTTTGAAGCACATCCCCCCCCAAAAGGGAATGTTTCAAAGCTCTGAAACAGAGATGGGCATAAAATGGACCAGGAAGCAAGAAAC